TTTATATATTATCAATAATTTTTAATTTCATCAGCAAAATTTTCATACTCATTAAAAAATATATTTAAAAACTAATATATTAATATGATAAATAAAAAACATATAACAATGTTCTAAAGTTGTTTTTGAAATTAAAAACGTCATGGATGATATAAAAAAATAATTTTTTTTAGTTTTAATTATAAGAATGAAAAAAAAAAATGTTTAGGACAAAACTTATGTAAAATTTTTTAAATGAAATTTAGAAAAGGTTTTTGAAAAATAATTTAATAAAAATTTTAACAAAAAATTCAAATAAATAAATGATAGAATTTAATGTAAAAATTAATAATAAGTAAAAAAATTATTTAAAATTTATTGATATTTTAAAATTATGCAAATATTTTTCCTAAAAAATTTATCTAAAAAATATATCAAATTTATTAAAAAGTTATTAAATTTTACACGTTATCTTCATATAAATCTTTCGCTGCTGCTTATTGGTTGGAGAATAGTTATTGACAAAAACATGTTCGTCATATTTACAGTTTTCCAAAACGAAGTGAATGGCAGTGTCTTTCGAAATTCTTAGTGATGTGATTTGCAAGTGACAGGAAGTGGATCCCCGAGGCTGTCTAATTAATTTCTGTTCCAAAACTTAATGCCGCCCCGCAAACCTAAGTTTCAAAAGTTTAAATCATTTAGGCAGCTGTCTTGGCCGACACTTGATTTAATCCTTTTTTTTTTTTGACACTTTGATTTCCTCAAGCATATGCAGCCCATTGTTGCAGCACTCGTAAAATTTGAATTGAACAGGATTCCCCATTTCAATTTTTTTTTTCGTTTTTTCCATTTGAATTAATTAAAAATTCATTCTGTAATAAATATAAATTTCACATAATATTTTAATAAATTTTAAATTTTAATTATAATATAATAATTATAAATAATATATTCTATTTCAAAGGTCATAAATGTCTTTCAAATTCTCAGTAGTCATACAAATATTTTTTTCTTTTAATCTCCAAAATATTTTAGATTCAAAAGTTCTTCCACAGCCACTTAGAAAAATTAGCATACAAACAAGTAAGACCAAAGCTGTGTTGGTGGGTAGACACAAGAAAATGTGCTATGTGATGCATCAAGGCCAAGGTGAGTGACAGAGCGAGCCGCCATCCTGGAAAAATATGCACCACGACGACTCATTGACAAGTTTTTTGGATTCAGTCAGATTCTCATAATCTTTTTAATTTTTTTACACAGTCCTACCCAATGTCTTAAGCAGTACGTGGTGGGTTCCACTCGTCTCTAAAGGTTATCGTTTTGTTACTTTTACAAAGCATAGAAAAATCTTTCCTCCAATCCCAGGCTAGTGAGGTGACTCGAGTAGCCAACCCAACCCAATCCACCAGGCACTGTTGACTTAAGTAAACGTTTATTGATAACTATGAGAAGAAAATTCCCTTCAACCAGTCAATGACAGCTTTATTATTTTATAAATTTGAAGATATTTACAAAATCAGATATTATTTTCTTTTTAAAATATGTGGGTACAAAAACTACAAATTATTTTCTTTCAATAGTAACAGCAGTCAATATGATTTTGAATGTGTCGGACCTACCATTTATAATACTAGCAATATATGCAACTCAGAAGAGGAGCTCGAAGATTAATATTCATCCTTATTTAATCTACCAACCTCTGGTTTACATTTTAACTTCGGCTCAGAAATGGTGAATAAATATATATACTAGTTTGAAGCTGGTTTCATAAATTCAGTTGTTGGAAGTCATTTTAAATCTTAGCAACTAAAAGAATGCACATTTAATATTATAGTATGTTATTAATTTGTACTGCATTTTTAGGTTAATTTACAAAAAATTACCTTGTAAGTGATTTAATGCACTGTAGCAACTTGATAAATTACTATCGTCAAGGACTTTTGGACAGTGTCTACCCTTTTTCATTGAAATTTTTTTTTATATTTGAAGTTATTATTAATTAAATTTTAATAATTAAAATTTAAATTTTAATGTTTTATTAATAACAAAATTAGATATTATTTTCAATAGTATTAATTTTTAGTTTTTAATTTTTTAATCAATTTTATCCTCCTTCTAACTTCTGGGATTCAGGAAATTTCCTAAAAGTTTGGAAATGAAAAAATTTTCAATTGCATTTCAAGTTACTTGTTTTTTTATACAATATTTGATCGTATAATTCACAAACAGACATTTCATACGGGAAAGTACTATTGTCACCTGCGCATTTGCGGTTTATTCCATTTCATACGAGAAAGTCCATTCAAATTTGATTTTTCACCTTTTTTTATAGATTAAATCCTCTGTTTTTTTTTTTTTACATAAAAAATGAAGGTGTAGGATTACCATGTGTACCTGTAGATGTTTTATCAGGTTTTTTCTTTTTAACACATACGAAGGAGACAAAGAAATACTGTTTCAGGGGCAAAAGAAACTGTAGAGACAGCCCACCATCGTCCATTTTCAAAGAGTTTTGAGACCGAACAAGAACCTGATCCTGTGTCCTAACCACGTGGTTAAAGGCAAGTCTCTCGATACAAGGCTTTGTGGTTTAAAAACTCGCCCTTCCATCTAGGGTTAAGAGTTCTAGAGAATCTGCAATCGTGTGTGAATAGTGAACCAGGAAATTTGTCAAAAAATAGAAATTTTCTAACAAATCAACATCTTTGTTCTCATTGACTTTTCCAGTTACTGTATTGATCTGATCCAGATATTTCTGTTTTCCTTCAATATCCAAACTTTTGCCCATTCCTCCAAATCCTTTTTCAGAACAAATGACCCAATTCTCAACTGATGAAGACCAAACTTTAGTCATTAAAAAAATTTAGTCTACCAAGATGAAATTGGATCTGTTATAAGTTCAGAAAACCATTAAATAGAATCACGATTCTCATGTTACTATACAATTTCCATTTCCTTTAATCTAAAATAAAAATAGAAAGACTTTTGCTAAATTTTTGGTAGGTAAAGTTATTGAAAAGAAAAAAAAATATATATTGGGTCCACTTTGTGTAAATGTAACAATTCGAAATATGGAAAAGTTTAGTAGTTTCCCTTGGATCCAAGGCATGGTGTCTGGCTCTTAATTGTATGGACTGCGCTTGTTCCCATCTCCCAACCTAAATGCTTGGACCGCTTACAGCCACTTGTTTTCACTTCTTTGATGTTCCGTTATCTCTTTTCCATTAATAAAATTGATGATTCTCTTGGACGGTAGATGAGAAGAGATAACCAACATTATTTCTTCGTTTCCTTCAATTACTTTGACGGATATTTATTCAATTTTATTTTTTAATAACTTAAAGTTAAATGCAGTATTATTGATTGAGGATAATGCTAATCAGTATTTATTATTTTTATATAAAAATAAAATTAAAATATTTATAAATATAGTATTGGTGTTATGTTCATTTAGTGTAAAACATAAAAAATATTATATTCCAATTAACATTAAAATATATTTTTTATTTTTATTACATTTATATATAAATTTCATTAAAATTTTAAGATATATTGTTTTTGCATTTTCATCTATGGTTTTTAAAATTAAATATCTATTTATAATTGCGGATTAATGGGACCCTACTACTGTTATTGATTACTTATTCTTAAACTGTAAGCACGTAGAGCGTTGACTATCGCATATTACATTGTACCATCGAATTCGGTGGAAAATGTAAAATATATGAGTACATGAAATTTGGTCAAAGATTTCAATTACTTTACTCATGCTTCAAGTTAACTTGAAAATTATATATACAGTCCAAATGTTTTTACTTGAAGTTGAAACAAATTAGATAGTTACTTGCTTTAAATTCAAATCAGATAAATTTAAATGTCTAATTTATTTGAAACCATTAAATGTTATGTATGTCACTTGAGATTTTATGATTCCAATCTTCATTCTAGAAACTTTAACTTACAATTAATAATGGAGATAGACCGTTTGACCATCTCATTCTTAGGAGTCAAAAATTTCATGAAAAGTGCAAGGACTTTTTTATTTTCTGGAACCCCAACTTTTCATTCTTATTGATGCCAACTTCCAAATTTTAATACTATAAAGTTACACCCAATTATTAATGAAATTTACTACTACAATATATATTGGAGGGCTAGCTAGTAACTCTCACCTCTTCAATAAAACATATTCCATTTGTTTATTCTTCTTTATTTCGTCATATTTTTCACATTTGCTCATCCCTAGTAGTTAAAGAAACAAATTAATGAAGTAGTAAAAATGAACACTTAAAACTTTTTTACTCTATTTTTACTTATTAGTCATGCGATCAACGGTCCAATCGTTTTTAAATCTTTCTCTAGTTTTGCCACAGAAAAAGTAACATCAAAGGGACAAAGAAAAGGTGTCAATCTTTGGTCCCGGAATTTGACTCTACCCTGCAAAATGACGTCGCATTTGTTTGACCTTAGAAGAGAATTTTCCCGTGAAAGCGAGCTCACTGATCACTCTGTTCAAAGATTAAAACCGTCAGGCAACAGTTTCCTCTTGCGCGCTAATAATGGCTTTCACGCGTCATCAAGAGTCATGACTGCTAATACAAAAACAACACTGGGAAATGCAAAACGGTTGCCGTTTCTTTATGTGCCGCGGCTTTGCAACCATAATAAAATGTCCACCGTTTATCTGCTTTCCATCTTCATCGGGATCATTCCGTCCCATCACCTCCTAGTGATGCGACCGATTTGATGCACTTCTTGGCTTCCTCTTCCTTGTCTTAAGCACGTCGGTGATTCTGTGCTTCGCCTTTCAAAATTACAAATTCTTTTGAGTAAAAAAAACCATTTTTACTGCAATTCCTTTGCTTTTAGTTTGCTAACACTATACCCTTTTCGGTTTTCAGTTTTAAATTCGAAAATAATAATAAAAAATATAATATTGCATTTTTTTTTCTCTCCCTCCATGATTCTATTTAAAACTCACCATAGACAATCCTAAGGATGCCCACATCATAACATTCCCCACTCTTCTTCTTCTCTCTCATGCAGTCCCTGTCTCTCTAATGGGAAAACAGTAAACCATCTGTCTAATTGTAGAAGCTTACTCAAAAACTTTCTTCTGCTGACTCAAATATATTCACACCAAAACTCTACACTTCCTTCCTCACCCTTTCCCCTTATGCAAAAATGCTTCTCCTTTTCCTTTCCTTTCTCTTCCTCACGTTCCCTTCACCTTCCCTTTCGCTCAACCAAGAAGGCCTATACCTTCTCCAAGTCAAAGCCTCCCTTCACGACCCTGACTCCACCCTTTCTTCATGGAACCCTCGTGACCCAACCCCATGCAACTGGCGTGGCGTTTCCTGTGACTCAACCACTGGCTCCGTCACCTCCCTTGACCTCTCCAACACCAACCTCGCCGGCCCTTTTCCTTCCCTCCTTTGCCGTCTCCAAAACCTTTCCTCCATTAACTTCTACTACAACAATTTCAATTCCACGATCCCTACTGACATCTCCACGTGTCAAAATCTCATCCACCTTGATCTCTCCCAGAACCTCATCACCGGTGAACTCCCCCACACTTTGGCTGACCTCCCTAACCTTAAATACCTCGATTTAACTGGTAACAATTTATCGGGAGATTTTCCGGAGTCCTTCGGTCGGTTCCAAAAACTCGAGGTTTTGTCTCTCGTTTACAACCTCCTAGATGGTACAATCCCCGCATTTTTGGGAAACATTAGTACCCTAAAAATGCTTAATCTATCGTACAACCCGTTTAGTCCGGGTCGGATCCCACCGGAGCTTGGCAACTTAACCAACTTGGAGATTTTGTGGCTCACCGAGTGTAATTTAGTCGGCGAGATTCCTGACTCGCTGGGTCGACTCAAGAAACTCACTGATTTAGACCTCGCCATTAATCATTTTGTGGGGAACATCCCTAGCTCGCTCACTGAGTTGGTTAGTGTAGTCCAGATTGAGCTGTACAACAACTCGTTGACTGGCGAGTTACCTCGCGGATTCTCGAAATTGACCAAGTTGAGACTCCTCGACGCGTCGATGAACCAATTAACGGGAAATATTCCGGACGAGTTGACTCAGCTGCCACTCGAAAGTCTCAACCTTTACCAGAACAACTTTGAAGGAACATTACCGCCGAGTATCGCCGACTCTCCAGCTCTATACGAACTCAGAATCTTTCAAAACCAACTCAGCGGAGAGTTACCCCAAAACCTTGGCAAAAACTCGGCGCTTAGATGGCTCGACGTCTCCAGCAACCAATTTACCGGTCCTATACCGCCGAGTTTATGCGAGAAAGGGAAGCTAGAGGAGATTCTAATGATATACAACTCGTTTACGGGTCAAATACCGTCCACTTTAGCAGAATGTGGGAGCCTGTACCGGGTCCGACTTGGTTACAACAAATTATCCGGTGAAATACCCCCCGGGTTCTGGAGTCTCCCTCACGTTTATTTACTCGAGCTTGTTAATAACTCGTTCTCGGGACCAATTGGGAAATCAATTGCAAAGGCAGCGAATTTATCGCTTTTGTTTATATCTAGGAACGAGTTTAGTGGATCATTGCCCGAAGAAATTGGTTTAGTTGATAATTTAGTTCAACTTTCTGCTAGTGACAATAAATTTAGTGGGTCGTTGCCTAATAGTATAGTCAAGCTTGATGAACTAGGGATTCTAGATCTTCATGGGAATGAATTGCAAGGGGAATTGCCTAGTGGAATTGAGTCTTTGAAGAAGTTAAACGAGTTGAATTTAGCTAATAATAAGTTTTCAGGGGAGATTCCTGATGGAATAGGGAGTTTGTCAGTGTTGAATTACCTTGATTTGTCTAATAATCAGTTAACGGGAAGTATTCCGTTCGGTTTGCAGAATCTGAAGCTTAATCAGCTTAACCTGTCCAATAATTTGTTATCCGGTGAGCTACCGCCTTTGTTTGATAAAGAAATGTATAAAAACAGCTTCTTGGGAAATCCTGGTTTGTGTGGAAATTTCAGTGATTTGTGTGTTGTGAGGGATGGAGATAAGCATAAAGGTTATGTTTGGTTGCTTAGATCCATTTTTGTTTTAGCAGCTCTGGTGTTTGTTGTTGGTGTGGTTTGGTTTTACTTCAAGTACAGGAGTTATAAGAAAGCTAGGGCCATTGATAAGTCTAAGTGGACTTTGATGTCGTTTCATAAGTTGGGTTTTAGTGAATATGAGATATTGGATTGTCTTGATGAGGATAATGTGATAGGGAGAGGATCTTCAGGGAAAGTTTACAAGGTTGTGCTTAGTAATGGAGACGCTGTTGCTGTGAAGAAGCTTTGGGAAGGAGTGAAAAAGGGTTGTGAGAGTGTAGATCTTGAGAAAGGTCAGGCTCAGGTTCTGGATAATGGGTTTCAAGCTGAGGTCGAGACTTTGGGGAAGATTAGGCACAAAAATATTGTTAAGTTATGGTGTTCTTGTGCTACCAGGGATTGCAAGCTTTTGGTGTACGAATACATGCCTAATGGTAGCTTGGGTGATTTGTTGCATAGTAGTAAAGGCAGTTTGCTGCATTGGCCGACGAGGTACAAGATTATTGTGGATGCAGCGGAGGGGCTTTCTTATTTGCATCATGATTGTGTACCTCCAATTGTGCATAGAGATGTCAAGTCCAATAATATCTTGTTGGATGGGGATTTTGGCGCTAGAGTGGCTGATTTTGGAGTTGCTAAGGTGGTTGATGCTGCTGGAAAGGGTGCTAAGTCTATGTCTGCTATTGCTGGGTCTTGTGGTTACATTGCTCCAGGTTAGTCGATGAAATCTTTATATCATTGTTCTAGACTTCTAGCTAGTGATTGAATGTTTAAATTTATTCCTGTAGTATGCTGCTATAGTTTATACTAAGATCTTTAAATGCTCAGTAATATTTAGAGAACTATTTTCAAGACAATAGATTAGCTGCAACAAACAACAGAGATAGATGTCCATTTATTAGTTGGTATTAATGTCTAGCCTTGTGGAGTTTAGGACAATTTTTAACTAGAGTGCAATCTTTGATACTGCATTAATGTCTCCTGCTGCTTTTTGATACTCAAATAATTTTGATCTCTATATACATTGCCTGATAAATCTTCTCTAACTGTCTTCAATGCAAATATTTAATAGCTTCTTATGTTATTTTTCACTCAATCTAAATGAATCTCTCTATGAACAATTTTGGTGCAGAGTATGCATATACTCTTAGAGTGAATGAGAAGAGTGACATATACAGTTTCGGCGTAGTTATACTTGAGTTAGTGACAGGCAGACTCCCAATTGACCCGGAGTTTGGGGAGAAGGACCTGGTAAAGTGGGTCTGCACCACTCTAGATCAGAAAGGAGTGGACCATGTTCTTGATTCCAAACTCGATCCTTGCTTCAAAGAAGAAATATGCAAGGTCCTCAACATTGGACTCCAATGCACAAGTCCACTCCCAATCAACCGCCCTTCAATGAGAAGGGTGGTGAAGATGTTGCAAGAAGCTGGTGCTGAGAACCAGCCGATGGCTACTAAAAAGGATGGGAAATTGACTCCTTATTACTATGAAGATGCCTCTGATCAAGGAAGTGTAGCTTGAGAAAAATTTTGCTCGTTGCAAAAACTAGGCCACAAACAAGGGTGTGGTACTGGAAGGAGTGAATTTTTCTTGCTCTCAAGTTTTGCTTTTCAATCATTGTACCCACTTGATGTTTGCTTTACAGGTTGGTTTAGCGGAGAGGTGAGACAGTAGGGGTTGAAATTATCACACTAAGAGAGAGAGGGTGGGAGGTAGATTTATTAAGGAGTTAATGTACTCTGTAAATTTATTAACAATGAAGGTTTTATTCCACTATCTACAAAAAAGGCTACTTACCAACTGCATTAAGATTTTAAGGCCCTTGAAAATGATTTTCACACTGATGAAAGTGATTTGCAGACTTTATGTTTAGCACCTCAGCCAAGTGACATTTGAGTCACCAACCACCTTAATGAATAAACCGTGTAAAACATGACACCAAATCCACATTAAACCTGTGCTATTGCCAGGTTAAAAAGGATTCACTACTCTTAGAGACAAGATTTTACTGTGGTTTAGCCCTTTGGTAATCATATCACCTGCATATAATAACATTAATATGCCGTAAAATCTGTTAAGTCGTTAGGTAAGGTTGGTTCCAATGGGCCCTAAGCCATTTATTCTAGTGGCGCTCTTTGCTTCTGCTGCATATTATTGCTCTACTTATCGAGACTCAAAATCCACACATCAATTCGAAAGTGACGACGGACAAGACTCGTAGGTGTGTAGGTTGTCATTTTGCATTGGCTGGTTGTTTGAACCTCTTTAAATTTACCTGTTCGTCCAATTTATTGCAGGCACAAAGCGTTTCCGAGGATTTGACAGTTTAATACGACATTAAACCACCACCAACATCCTTCTTTCACTGCTGCTGCCAGCTTTGCAGTGATCCATAATGCTTCGAGCACTGCATCCGACAGTTCAAATGCTGGTCACTAAAGCCAAACTCGTGTACTTCCTGCAAGCAAGATAAACCAAAATTCCAACATAATGGGCCACTATATAATACACTGGTTTTTTGTTTCTTCCATAGTTAGGCTAGGCTTTGCTTTCAACATAATTTAGAAAGTCCTATATGCTCTGCTTTCTATTAACAACTGCTTTGACATGATAGATTTTTGGGTCTTTTTCTTTGCAGCTCATCCTCTTCTTCTCTTTCCTTAATTCACTATGATTTTGTTACCGAAAGAAGGAACATGGGTTGATAAGAATAATTCCCATGATAAGAATAATTTTTAGTTTCACTGTCTCTTTCTAAATAATATGCTAGTTGTCATGTGGAAACAGATTTTTACTGTTATAAAATTTCCTGTACGTGGAATCCGTTAGCAGTGTGGCTGCAGCAAAGACAAGAAGGTGGTTTGGAACATCTCTGCAAAGAAATCTTGTTGCAATAAAGGCTATAGATGAACCACGCTAATCCAATAAAACCAAAAAAAAAAAAATCCTCTCTTCTAGCCTTGGCTTAAAATTTTTGTTAGTAACACCAGAACTGCTGCTACTTGTAGATCCAGTGCAGCACAGATTTGTCGTTCTCTCCTTACTTTCTTCCATAAAAGCCAGATCTAAGTTCCAGTTTCACCCTTATCTTTTGGATTGAGGAAAGATACCAAGCATGGATAGGTACCTTTTAGTAATTGGGAAAATTGTAAGTAGTTAACGGTGCGCGAGTGGCTTAAAGGTCTGAAAATGCCCTCTCTCTAAAACTACTGAAACACATTGAATGCAGTTCCTCGGTAATTGGGAAGGGAGGCATCATACTTGAAACGTCAAAATCTATGGAAAACTATCTCCCCCTCTTTTTTTTTTTTAATGGTCCCCATATCTATTGTCTATTAATAAGAAAATTCTTTCATTGAAATGTATTAAGTTTGAAACTCTTCTCAATCCAATTATCTATCAAGCTTCCTTATGCTCAGGGAAAGGACAAAAATGACAGCATTTCGGGTCTAGTACTATCGTGAATATAGCCCCTTTTTTTATGATGAGGAATCAAATTCGTTTTAGTTTTATCTTGATTCTTGGCTGTCGGCAGTCGCCTATTTTACCAGCATAAAATTAACAAAAAAAAAAAAAAAACTCAAAGCAACACTCACTCATTAAGCCCATATGGGTGGACTAGGTCCCATAGAAATTGAAGCCCAAAGGCCTAGTAACATCTCAACCAAGGTTTTTTGTTGGGCCATAGTGTAAAACCAAATTCTTGTCCAAAGTATTGGGCCTGTTTCATAAACTTGCTTAAATATCACATATCATTTTTTAATTCACGCTTAGCCATATTATTATTGTTTTTAAATAGGAAAATGTTAAAAGAGTCGGAAAAAAATAGCCATCCAAATATATATATATATATATATATATATTATCATTATTTTATCTCTTTACTTTAGATAGATTAAAGTATTTTTTGTGACACTTGCTAATTAAAATTGAAATTTGTATTTTAATCAATAATTATGTAATTCATTGATAAAGTGTACGATTTGTAATAATCCAGCTACAAATTTAATGTACAACATTGAAGTTATGTTATATGTTGTTTTGAAAAGGGAAGAATAATCGAAATTTAATACACGGGTTTTATATAAAAATCTTTGTAATAGGTATTAATCTGCAGCAGAGTGCAAAAATTTCACATGTCTATAATATTTGCTTACATAAATAATGAGTACAAGCACTTAAATCTCATGTTAGGTACATTGCTGATTTAAATTATACGTTTCCAAAATGCTCTCAAGTTACTTCTTCTACCAAACTTCAAACAACTCCCTTTCAGCCATACTTTTAGGCTCCAGCTTGACAAAATAGTGCCTGCGTTTGTTGCAACTAAACTGTGATTTACATGATTGGTACATTACCGCTGTGTTTCGTTGAGATTATTGAGACTTCAATTTTTCAATTAATTTATGAATCCGGAAAGAATAAAGAAATTTTGATGAGTGATATTTAAGTCTAAATGTTCGAAGAAAAAGTAACTATAAATATGGGATACTACCAAAGCAGCATTTCAAATGTATTTCACAAGTCTTTCCTTGTCAATTAAGATTCGATTTTTGTGAACAACATTTTAATAGTAAATTTTGAAAATGCATTAAGGTGATATGAAGGATGCGTTCCTAAGATCAAGAAAAGAATGAGGTCCAGACAAAGTCTGAAAATACCATGATCACAAAGAAAATGTAGTTTTCTTGTGCTTTACTAAAAGATTAATCATTGTGTTTTGGCTTAACTTAAATCCAGGCTAAAGATAGGCAGACAGCCGATATTTAATTAGTCGACTTCATGTTGCTGCGGCTACATTCAACTTTTGATTAGTTTAACCTTATTTTGTTTTTTGAAACACAATTAATTTTAATAGAAGATGCCTTAGCTTGGATGCGAAGTCGTTGAACTTACCAATCTTTCATTATCCATATATCTTAATCAGCATGAGGTATTTTTTGCCATTTCACATTCTCAATTCTTGACAAATTAGTAATTTTATTTTTGCAGAATTTAAGAAAGGCCAAATCATGAATTAAGAACTTGCTACCTGAGCCTGATGACAAAGCAAAGGACAGAAAAATATTCAATATCAATTTTCTTCAGAATCTATCCAAAAATGTTTTTGTTGGGTCTCACGAATTTTCTCCATTGAGCTCATCTGATTACAATTTAATTGGCATTTGAAAAGTCCAACTGGCGGCCAACCAGGAACCAATTAAATCACTAGACTGGGGGTAGAACGCCAACTCTTTTACCAAATGTATCCCATTTTTTCCAAGTCTGTGCACTTACTCAAACAGAGATACCCCTCCTTTTCCCCTTCATTTTTCTCTTTGAATAGCTTTTCAAATTGTTCAAACTTCAAAGTCCAATCCCTTATATAGGAGTGAGCCTTATCAACACGGTACTGTATGACCATCCAGCCAAAGCCAAAACCCTTTTCTTCTTGATTTCTCCAATTCTCCTAACCATTTCATCAGTCATAATTTGCTAAAGATCATAGTTTTAGCACAGAAAAAGATGAGCCAAGGTGAGGATATTGCTTATGATTTGGTATTGGTTCTTCTCTCAATCTCTCTTTTCATTCTTGGTATCGTTCTGATCATCATCTGCATAAAGAAACCAGTAAAATCTGATCAAAAACAAGAACTTCCCATCAAGCTTTGCGCAATCTCATATCAATTAACCGATATAGATGCCGCTACAGATGGCTTTAACCATAGAAGAATCATCGGTAAAGGACGTTTAGGTACTGTTTATGCAGCCACATCACCAAGAGGAGAGCTTGTTGCGGTGAAAAGGATACATCCACGGCTGGTTTTAAGCAATGCTGGATTCGGATTTGCTTCAATAATCAAAACACTTTCTTTAGCTCAACATCCTCACATAGTCCCCATTATAGGGTTTTCACAAGCACCAGGTGAGAGAATTATTGTAATGGAGTTTGTTGGTATGGTTAATTTGGATTTTTATTTGCATGAAAACTCCGATGGTGCATCATTATTAGATTGGAACCGGCGTTTAAGGGTTGCAGCAGGGGTGGCTAGAGGAATCGAGTATTTGCATGAAGGGTTGGCACCAAATATAATACATGGATGTATTAAGGCATCAAACATATTATTAGATGTGAAATTTGTTGCTAAATTATGTGATTATGGGCTATCATTTTTGGCACCCAAAGAGAAGAGGGGGCTTGTGGGGTATGTAGATGATGAGTATTGGGTCGAAAGAGGAGGCGGTGCTTGCAAGGAAAACGATGTTTATGGTTTTGGGGTGGTTTTGTTAGAGATTTTGACAGGGAGAAGAAGTGAAGAAGGGTTGCTTGTTAGATGGGCGTTGCCATTGATTAAGGAGAAAAAGTTTAGTCAAGTTTTGGACCCCAGACTTGTCATTCCTTCGGACATAAAGCCTCTTGTTAGACTAGCTAAAGTTGCTTCAGCTTGTGTTGGTAATTACAGAAAAGACAGGCCTTCTATTTCTCAACTGGTAACCATTTTGAATAATTTGGAAACTGAGGTCTGCCATTAAAGTATTACCGTTCTTTTTGGGAGAGTCTAAGTTGGAAATATTGGGTTAGCTTTTGACTTTGATCATCAAAAAGCTAAATCAGATTGAACACACGTGGGGTGTCTACAAAATGGGTGTAAGATAGAGTTGGCCAATGAGGAAGAACTTCGTGCAGAAATATTGAAATGGAAAGATCAAAAAGATGGAGGTGGGGGGGGGCGAGGGGGTTCAATGGCGGTGATTGTTAATCTTTGTTTCCGTGTGGAAATGGGGGATCTTTTTGGTGGTGAAAGGGTCCCCTTTCTTCCTTTTATCAGTAGATTTTCTTTCAATCACTTCCTTATTTTGTGTTATCCTTTTTGTCTTGTCATGGCTCCATCATTTGACTAAAAGTTCTACTTTGTAAATCATTAGCGAATAATTTGTGTTTAGTAAAAAAAATAGTTGTACAATTTGTTTATAAAATTATTTTTTTGGACCCCATGTCATGTTGATCGAGACCATTATATCTCCCTCCAATTATTCTTGTCCAAAAAATCCATTAGTTCCCATTTAAATGTAAAAATAAAAAAAAAATCTTTAATTTTCATTAGATTCTGTTTGCTTTGTCTGTTATAGTAACATTATAAAGCCATTGAACGTTGAAAATAATCGGTTTAGGCAGTCATAATTATTCATTTTAAGTCCTAATTTCCTTACTATTTTAAGTTGAAAAATATGGCAAGCAGTGGATCTAACTATTATGATTAAATTATTAATATAATACTATATATATATATATATATATGCTCAAGGATGGATCCAGGATGAGAAGCAGCTACCCCATTTAAATCATAAAAATTAATTTTAATTATTAGTAGGTTACCTAAAATTTTAATGATTTTTATAATATTAAAAATAATATAAATATATTAAAATTTTAAAAAATAATTAAATATAATAATAATTTACAATGTAATATATATATATATATACACGTGTATGTGTGTGTGTTTTTATTGAAGACGAATAAAAAAATAGTGGTTGTAATTTCTTGTCAATCCCGAAGCTGCTATGACTTTGGGTCTCTTTCGGTCTCCAGAAAGGGTATGGAAAATTGAGGTCCAGATTCAGCCCAACTAATATGCCTAGTTTACATTATTCAAAACATATACCCTTTAAATAAGCAATGAGATTGAAATACTTTCCACGGATTCAGTTTTCAAGTTTTATTTTTTACTTTTAATTTTACTTTACATTAATTTGTTTAGTACGAGAATTCTTCTGAATTCTATGTAAAATATTTTAATTGAATATGCATCAGTGGACTCATTTACCTGATTTTATATAATATGTTGATTATTCAATTCGTAAGAATATGAATTAATTTCCTTAATTACCAAAATTCGATATTTGTGAATAATGTTTTGATAATGTTTTGATAACAAAAAGATTACAATTTAAGAGTAAAAAAAAAAAAAAGTAAATACTGAAGTGTTTGAATGTTTTTGAATTACGAAGAATTTGTGCCATTTTAATTAATTATATAATCTAATTAGAAGTCTAATGAAAACAGATAAAGACAAGTTGTAATCCATCATATGATTAGTTCCATTCAAATTAATGAATTATTAAAAAGATCATGGAATAGATTCTTGGTTGTCATTGAATTCGATTGCTTCAATTCCTAAATCATTTCTTCATCATAATGGAAATGCAAAACACATTCTCATTTCAGAAAGAAATATCTAAAAAGCTGACCTCTCTTTCCATTATACTTCATTTCATTTTTTTTCAATATTAATATCATAAATAGGCAATACGTGTTGCCCTTGAAATATATAAGGTAGTCATCACCATATCGTTATCAACCTGAGGGCATCATCATCGTTCACCATGATTTTACATTCAATATATTGGGTTTAATTCATGGGACATTCTATTGTCAATCGTAATTTATCAAATGAGGCATTTAACATTTCAAAGCTCCCCCCATTAAACAAAAATTTTAAACTGATAATATTTATCTTAACTTTGAACTTAATAAGACTTATAATTTAAAATACGATACGGTAACATAACACGAAAATTATACAAATAAAGAATATAGAGATAACGTAATTTAAAATTTTAAAAAAATCATAAATAGATTTAATAAAATTAAAAAATTATATTTTATATTTTTATATTAACATGAACTGTGACACGTGATTTTCATATAAACAGAGACGGATCTACATACGGTGTTGCGAGGGCAGTTGCCTCCAATAAGATCCTAAAATTTTTTAAACTAGTTATAAAAAAAATCTTATAAATTTTAAAAAACTTAGGCTTTGCCCCTACTAAATTTTTTTTTCTATCATATTTGCTCCAATTACATTGAGGCTCATAATGGAAATTTTTTTTATTATTTATCTATTAATTGAACATTTTATTTTTAAAAAAAGTAATTGAACATTTATACTTTAGGTGGTAAGCATTTTCAATACAATATATAGTAATTTTGTAGGAAAACAAATAAAAAACTTTTAGAATTCATATAGATAATATATAAAGTGTGAATTAATAAGAATAAAAAATTAAAAAAAATCTTGAACTAATGTGCCTTCCTTGTTTTCATTGAATATTAAGAAAATATTATTTTCATTATATATAAGGATATAAGTATTTTTAATTCTCCACATGATTAAGAAATGAAAATAGATGATAAAATTGGACATATTAATTTTTATTTCTTCACATATTACATCTATCTTTAAAAATTTTATAAGCACATAAAATTTTATTAAATTAATATATACATATTTATATGTGTTTGTATATGTTTAGGTGTTTAAGCTATATTTGTCAATAATCAAATAGTTAATTTTAGTTATGCAAATATTTTAGTTATATTTGATATAAAAATTTGTTATACATGTTAATTTTGTTTGAAAGTTTTTATATTAATTTATATTTCAATGAAAAATTTAATAAATTAAGTTAAAATATTTGCTCTCATTGATTAGAATTCTTAGATCCGTCTTTGCATGTAAAATACAATACGAATATAATATTTTATATAATATAATAATACAAATTATCAAATATATTTTTAAGGATCATGTAAATATTTAAATTTTGTTTGACATAATATCTTTTTGAAATGATTTTAAAGATATACTCCTTTGCATCTAATTGGTGAAATGTTGAAAATTTTATTTTTGAAATAATTATACAATGATTTGATTGAGAAGAAAAAATTTCTCTCCTTTACCAACTGTGTTAATGGTAAGTGTTATGCAATTTGTGAAAAAGTTAGAAGCTGCAAAGAAGTCGTTGATTCCCATTTAAAATAGAAGACATTGGAGACTCAATAAAAATACGACTTTGAAATGGCCTGTCACTTTCAGGAAATAAAAGTGTGAATCCTGACTCCGGGGTGGGGATCAAATGCTTGAAAATGATCTTAATTATATTTTCCATGTCTCCCCTAACCCCAAACTTGGGTTGCTAATTAAGCTTTGGTAAACAAAAACATTCATTCTCTTGTTTGATTTCAAGTACTTTCCCATCAGATCTTTTAGTTTCTTGGATATTTAATTTCTCATCAGCCAAAAGAAAATTAGGGGCGTTTTTTGGCCAGAAATTGTATGAACAGACAGACGATGCCAAATGAGCAAGGGGACAATTATTTGTATGGCGGCAGTATCTGGGAAACAAAAAGACACACATATTGACAAAGTCCAAAAAAAAAAAAGAAAAAGAAAAACCCTAGCCATACGTTAAAGTTGAAAGCTTAACGAAGAAGTTTTGATCACGTTGTTGCGTGGCTTCCGAGAGAAGCTCTCAGACCTATACATAACAAGGAAGAGGAAAAAAATCCCATTAAGATTATCCATAACATGTCATGCCGGCTGTGATGATATAAGTTAATTGTTACGTGAACGATTGTGATTTTTGCACGGTCATGTACTTTTCAGCTCCCCTACTATTGCTTTCCTCTCAGCCGTTTGATCAAAACCTACACAATCATGATGATGATCAGTGATGTTGTTTTTGAGAGAGAAATTAATGAAAATATATGCTTTCAGAAACGTGCAGCCTACTAATATGATTTCATTATCCAAAATTAATGAAAAGCAAGTTTGGCATTTCAAAAAATTTTATTAAATATAATAATCTCTAATTAAAAATATGTAGATAATTTCATAGTTGCGAACTCCAAATAATTAACAGCACATTTGCTTTAGTAATTGTAATGTTTTTTAATGGTGTACCATGTTTTAAATTTATTGAAAATGTTGATGGCCTTTGTAACTTTTTTTTCCCTTTCTTTTCTCTTATTTATTCCATAATAATTCCAAAATAAAATACCATATATATAATATTTAATTGTCAAAAAAAGTTTGTGCAGCTCATGTTACACCAGAAAAAAAAAAAAAAACCCTACATCATACTAAATTTTTTTTAATTATGGCTGTAGGAGGAATTGTCAAAACCATAAATGAAACACTAAACAAAAAAGACAAATAAATAAATTAATAGTAAAACAAAAATGCATGGAAAACTTTGGCCAATACATCCTAAAATACGCATCTAAAACTAAGAGATAGAGAGAAAATTGGTGATTTGTTTGCTTAACATGAGAAGTCTACGTGAAGAAATGAATTAATATACTAAAATTCACTAATTATTTATTTATTTATTTTTGTTTTCATAGCTTTAGGAATACTCCAGTTTGACAGTGGAGCTAATAGCCTTTTCTCAAGAGGTAAAACTAAAACGTCCTGGACAGAATACCTGTTTGCCTTCTCTCCACTCCACTCAACTCCTTTTTTTTATTTTATTAAAAGTCAGTTATTTATGATTAACTTTCCTCATTAAGCTTTTAAGTAATTCTGTTTAAATACATGTTTTCTTTGTTTGACCAATGACTGCATTTATTCTGTCATACAATCGTATACACATTAACATAGCCAAACTTGACGTCCAAGCAACATTTATTATAAATTTATTAATATTATAATGTTTCTGAAAAAAGAAATAAAATTGAATAAATCCCATTCTTTCCTTTCTTTTATTCTCTCTGTGTTTGGAAGGGCATATAGCACACAGCAGCAGCTATACCCTCGATCATAAGCAGAAAATTTTCCAAAAAAAAAAAAAAAAGAATAAAAAAGCGTGGAAGAATTAAATTCCTTTGCCAAACATCAAGAAAGAAAAAGTTGGTAACTGAAAACGTGTTCTAAAAGAGACAAGTTTTGCTTTACTTGTTCTTTTTATTTTTATTTTTTGTTTTGGTTTTGTTTTATGTGTCAATCTTGCTAGAATTTGGTCTGCGTATTGGAGAAGTAGGGGAAGAGGGAAGGAAGAAGAAAAATTCAGCTTTGTGATGGGAATAAGATCAGCAGAACAAGAGAGATGACATGGTGCAATAACCCTGGCGACGATAGAGCTCTACAATTAGTTACAGCAGGCGCTACTGAAGATCCCACCGTCTCAGTCGCCGCGTCCGCCTCCGCAGCCGTTTCAGAATCCAAAATCCATGAAATCCCAACCATTATTTGCCCTTCATGTGGCCACAACATACCCTACCAAGATCAGGTCCATATATAAACATAATTTATTCTTAGGTGAAACTTTTCTATATACAGTTTGATTGATTTTTATGTGGATTTAGGCGGGAATTCATGATTTGCCCGGTTTACCAGCGGGAGTGAAGTTTGATCCAACTGACCAGGAAATTCTAGAGCATTTAGAGGCAAAGGTAATATCTGATATGCGAAATCTTCATCCTTTGATTGATGAGTTTATTCCAACGCTCGAAGGAGAAAATGGGATTTGCTATACTCATCCAGAGAGGCTGCCAGGTACTACTTTGACGCTTTAATTTTATAAGAATGTCCATCAATTTAGCTCCGAACTTAGCTTTTCTGAACTTTTAGGTGTTTTCGTCAACTTCTTGTCTCTTCAATAATACATCAGTTTTTAATTTTGGCTGATCATTTGTCTACTTTGTTTTTAGGGCTATATCAATGATCTGTGTTTTTTTTTTTGTATGGCCAATTCGCCACTATCAATGATCTGTGTTGGTAGATTAATTTTAGATGAAAACGTAGAAACTTACTGCATTTTTCACAATACAGTTAAGTATATTGTAAGGAAAGTACCTAAGTTGGCTAATACTAACTGCCAAGGATTGCTGGTATGCAGTGTTTCTTGGGTGGCCTAATTACGTAAGATCCTTTGGTTCTACTCAAGCAACATATTTTCTTAATTAAAGACATGTGAATTGCTTCAATATGCCCCTAACTAGCTTAACCTAGGATCTAGGGATTATCTTTCATCATCTCATGATGTTCATAATATGTTGTTAGTTTGAAAGTAGTGCTGATGCCGAACCTCATGACTCCTGAATGGTCAAAGTTAGGATGAACACCAGATATAAGTTTGCTAGCTGTTGCTTTAAGTGGCCTAACTGCATGTCTAAAAGGCAATAAGTGGTCAGTGATTAAATCAATTAAGCTATTCACGTAATTATTTTCATGCATAGAACTGATTAATCATTTTATCTGTTCACATTTTAATGGTGCAGGAGTAAGCAAAGATGGCCAAATTCGACACTTCTTTCATCGACCCTCCAAGGCATACACAACTGGGACTAGGAAGAGAAGAAAAGTGCTCACGGATGAAGATGGAAGCGAAACAAGGTGGCATAAAACAGGCAAGACCAGAGCTGTTTCGGTTGGTGGGACAGTGAAGGGATTCAAAAAAATTTTAGTACTCTACACCAACTATGGCAGGCAAAGGAAGCCTGAGAAGACAAACTGGGTGATGCACCAATATCACCTTGGCGACAATGAAGAAGAGAAAGATGGAGAGTTAGTGGTTTCAAAAGTTTTTTACCAAACTCAACCTAGACAATGCGGTCCAAGTAGTGTTAATGAAACACTTGATAGAAAGTTGAAAAAACGAAGCCGGCATCAAAGTCCTATAGCAAATAGCACTAGCAGCGCGGCTCTTGTTGAGTATTACAATCCACCTTTTGTTTCATATGATCTTGGGAGTCATCATAATAGGGAAAGCCCACCTCAGCTAATTCCAAATATGGTTGTTCAAGGTGATGGATCTTCGTTTATTCGATTAGCCTCTGATACAAGCAAAAGGAGACTTGAAAGAAACTAGGGAATAAGAAAGATCAGCATTTGGTAGAGCAGCTACGACAAAGACTTATTGGGTTGGTGTTGTTGCTCTTTCTGTTGCTCCGTAATAGTCAAATAAATTATCAGATTGCGATTTTGCTGAGGAATTAAGGGAGGGAATAAAAAAATAAGGTGAATGTCTTCTTTTGTTAAAAGATAAAGAGCCAGATGCTTTGGAAGATTTGCCCATGACCATGCTATGAGCAAAGGACTAGACAAGGTGCTAGTGCCGCCTATTCTATATACCCACTTGCATAATATTTACATACTATTTTTTTTTTTTTACCATATTCTATCCATTTATTGTAAGGTTTGATGACATTCGTAGTAGGATTCTACAAAGATGACTCCCATATACTTTCTACTAGTAGTTCTACAGCTTTAATTAGTTTTATCATTTATCATATAGCATGTTAGAAATTACTACTGGCTGCAATAATACAATTGTTTCTAATTCTATCATGGATTCTTTTGTGCTTTTGTAAATTTCAATCATACATCTAGGTTTCTTCTCATCTTTTTTAGATGAATATATTTATTCACATCTTCTTTTTTAGATGAATATATATATATATATATATATATATATATATAAGGAACTGATCAACTTATATAAAAAAATTTTATACAACAATATACATGAGAATGGACCAATTTACACCGTTGTAAAACTTTTTAATTTTTTATATTTTTCTAACTAATAGATCTAAGAGATAAAAGTAAATCATTTTTTCTTTTATTGATTTATTTTTTTTTAATTTTTTGGATCTATTAAAATCAACGGTTAAAAAATATATATAATTAAATAATTTTATATTAATATAAGGTTATCTTGCTCATATATATATATATACACACACCCACATATTGTTCTTTTAATAACTTTTGGTTTTATAGCATAATTAGAATCTTCATATGATAAAATTGTTATTGGCACCCAAAATAAGTGCATTTGTTTTGAAGATGATTTTCTTAATTTGCAACGCAACTCATTGTTTTCTTATCCAAGATTCAAAATTTGAGTTAATTTAAACATCCGTTCAAGTGATTGTTGATTAGTAGGCTACACGAGGGTATAAACATTTAAATTATTCATTGATACAACTATGGAAGAGATTTTATAGATTGAAGTTGACTTATAAATGAGAAATCTACAATGTGTTTATGCGAGTTCTTCTGGTGGTCCAAAGGAAATGAAATTAGGAGCTGATCAAAAGGAGAATCGCAAAGAAAGGCATGGATACCCTACCATGTAATTGTATGAATATGCGATGATAGTTACTAATTTACCGTAGAAGGTTCTAGAAGAATAGCATAATGACCAACTTGCATCTCTCAATATCTATAGTTTTTTTAAGCGCTTTGAAGCCACTTGAAAATGGGATCTTTACTGTACGTGGAGGCTAAAAATAAGTCGAAAAGTCCACCATTAGCAGCCATTATTCTATTGATAATGCGCTCTCAACACAGAAGCACTACAAATGGAAGAATATTCACCAAACTTGTAACCAAAGGAAGTTAGTAAACCTTTTCAAATCATGCAAGTTTTTGTTTGAAGAAGAAACTTCTAAGAAATTGTTAATTTAATTTATTTTTTTGTTTTAAAAAAAACTTCTAAAAAATTGTGAAATTAATTGTTGATATATATATTTTTCATATATTGAATTTTAATTATTTAAATTAAATGTTCAATCCTCTACGGGTAAATATTAAATTAAAATTTTTTTGGTATAAAAGCAGGAGATTTTAGGGATTAAAAATCACAAACATTCCATTTCCTTGCAAACGAAGCAAATGCATAATAGGACGGTAAACCCTACTGGCCGTCCTTGAGAAGAGGCCAGAGATACAACATCAAATTGTACGTCGAGGGAGACTTTTTGCTGTGGTCCTCTGAAAGACTCAAAGTTAAGAAATTTGCGTCAGGCAGCTCAAGAGCAAACAATGCAATAACTATCATCTTTTATATATATATATATATATATATATATATATATATATATATATATAACTTTTTAATTCTTAAAGCTGCCAAAGATTTGAACCCTAATTAGTAGTAAAATAAAAACAAAACTTTCATCTTGAAAGTTAAGAATAAACCTACCATAAATTGATTTTATAAAAAAATTTAGTAAAAAATTTTAAATTCAAATGAAGTAATAATGTTGTTGCACCGTCCCCAAATCATTGTCTCTTATTGATTTTTTTGGTTAAATTAATTCAATTTTAATAATTATTTTTAATAAAATTATAGAATTAAAATTTTTAAAAAATAAGATTTGAAATTTAAGTTTTAAAATTTTAAAAACATGTTTTTCAAAATTTTAACTCAATATAATTTTAAAAAAAAAGAGGTGAAAGTTGAGTTGTTTTGAAAATAAATAAATAAAAAAAGAAAAATCAATAAAAGACAATTATTTGGGAACGGATGAAATATTATATAAAAAAAATATCTCTTATATTATTAGTGGACTTTGAAACTTCATATTTCATAAGTGTAAATGCATAACAATATATTAGTAAATCAAATATAGCTTAATAAAAAATAATTAATAACTTAATAATTAATCAGTGATATCTTAATAATAAATCAATGATAATTTAGTAGTAAATTAGTGATATCTTAATAATAAATCAATTTCAATTTAATAGAAATTAATTGATAAATTTAGTAGTAATTAATAGATAACTTAGAAGTAAACTAATAATAATTTAGTAGTTAATTATTGAAAATTTAAAAATAAATTAATATAACTTAGTATATATTAAATCATCTATAACTTAATATATAGTTAATTAGTAATAACTTACTAAAAATCATATATAATTTAATATAAATTAGTGAGATCTTAGTAATATATATCACTTGGTAGCAAGAATGGATAATTTAATAATAAATTTATGATAATTTAGTAATAAATTATTAATAACTTAATAATAAGTCATTAATATATAATTATAAATCACCTATAATTTGTTGTAAATTAATAATAATTGAGTTGTAAATCAATTATAATTAAGTAATAAATTAGTTAATTATTAATAAGTTTGAATTAATTATTAATAAATTAGTAGTGAATCAATTATAACTTACATAATAAATCATCGATAATTTAATAATAAATCATTGATAAGTTAATAATATATCATGAAATCAATAATAACTTAATTATCAATATTTTTTTTTCTTTTAGGGAGAGGATCCTCTCCACCGCTAAAAATTAGTGGAGATCTCCGCTGTTTTTTTTAATATTAATCCAAGGTCAATAGTAATCCACATCATCATTCTTAATTAATAGCACCAAAACGCATAGTTTTATTAAACTTAATGACGTTTAACATTTTCGGTGGCACAATTTCAATGTTGAGAGAGGAGTTATTTAGCAAGTCTGTATTGTTTGCTTGCAAACACCTAGCATCAAGATTTCTCTGTTCAAAAAAAAAAGAAAGAGAATCATCATTCAAATATGCAAAAGGGTCCTTTACCTTAATATATTGATTTTTGCAGAGTCATTTGCTATGACCCCAGTTTGTGTTTTATAACAACGTTTTATACCCTGCTTTCCATCTTTCTTATCGTTTTCTATTTGATATAGACTGACATTGCGTGGGGTTGAAGAAGCAAATTGAAGAATCAAAATTTTGATGCCCTGTATTGAGACATGCAAAAGCACAAAAGAAAGAATAAGTAGGCATACCTATGAGCATTGGATATGGAGAAATGTTATTTGGATTAGCACTAGAGAAGAGTATATATCAACTCTGTATGAAGGGAGCAAAATTTCCAAATTTTTTACAACAGCAATTCCTTTAAAAAAAAAAAAAAACACTTTAAACCTTATTTGTGTCATTGTGTGTAAATTTAGACAAAGGAAGAATGCCCATTAGCTTGTTGCAGTTTGCCAAGATGTTTCAAACCACTGCTTTTTTATATTTTGGGTTGTGGAAAAGGAAGAAGAAAGTTAATTTAGATTGAATGAAATGTTTCATATTATCATTATCAAATTTTAATACAAAACTAGTTGAATTTCAGTATATGTTTTTATCATTATGTAGACTAAAACGGTGTAGAGCAAAAGAAAATAGATCAAGGACTCAAACTAACTCAAAATAGAACAAAGTTTATAAGAATACTATGCTAAAATTTCATTGAGATATTTCAACAGACACTACATAGTCATAATCCTTTACACAAGGAAATACAACATTGGATTGCCCAAGAAACACTCTGCAACATATATACACGAGTTTAATATTTTTAGTTTCAGACATTCAGCATATTACACTATAATTCAAATAGAGAAGTCCAACACAAGCCACAAGTGGCAACAAAATAGAACTAAGTGGCTGCAAGTGATGCTATATTATAAAGCTAGAATGGCTTTTTCAAGTTCATAACGCTTGACATGGCCTTCTGAAGATTACCAGTGGAGGGAAATAGCAAAAAGGGCCAGAGAACTTGAAGAAAACGGTGCTGGTAGACATCGTTAAGTTTAATAAAACCAGGCGTTTTGGTGCTCTTAATTAAGAATGATGACGTGGATTCTTATTAACCTTAGATTAATAATTAAAAAATACAGTGGAGATCTCCACTGATTTTTAGTGGTGGAGTAGATCATCTCCTTTATAGATATATATATATATATATATATATATATATATTTGAGGGATTTAATTTTCGTTAATAGTAAGAATAAAGCTAAAATTTTCACTTAGATTAAGATAAAATGTATTGTAAATCTATTCAATAAAAAAATTAATAAAAGAATTTTAAATTTTAAATAAAATAATAATGTTATTATACAAAAAAAGTTATCTTATACTAAAATTACTAAAATCTATTATTAGATATATGATACCTCAAATTTTATTAATGCTTATCATAAATTATCAAATTAATATCAAAAGTTATTAAAATTGTATTGAAGTTTATAAAAATTTTATAAAAAAATAATCAAATTTTTAACAAAGATTATCAAAATATATTAAATGTTATCAAAATTATATTAAAAGTTATTAAATTTTACTAATACTAAAATCAAAATTAAATTATTAATATTTATCATTATTATCATAAGATATAAATTTATTTATCGAATTAAAATTTTAAAACTGATTATTATTAAATTAAATTTTAAAAATAAAAAATACCCATTATATACAAGCCAAAACAAAAGGTACAAACTAGAATTTTCTTTTTGAAAAATCAAATTAAAAATAAATAAATAAATAAATAAGCTCAAATGTTCTTATCTTGCTGAAAAAGCAAAGCAATACCCAATCTTAAATATTTCGGGCTATAAGCATTAGCCAGGTGACAAATACAATCAAACTTGAATGTTCCTTCAAAGAGGTTTCGAGGATAGAATCTGAACTGCAAAAATCACACCGTCACATAATTCAAGTCCTCTACCGAGCTCACCGGGCCACAACAATCAACTTCACATAAACATACTTAGTAA